TCTTTTATTTTATTTAATTCATTTAAAGTGATTATTTTCAATAATGATGTAATTGCATGAGATATTATGTATTAATATTTGATCTGAAGGAATGTACGTCAAATGCCTACAATTCGCATTTTTTCAATTTATTTGTTTAGTGAATAATAGTAAATGTCGATGATGTAGTGCGTACAGAAAGAGGATAAGCACATTCGTGTGCACGCGCAGATGTTATTTGTATATACATAAAGCAAACATGAATATGGCGACTTTCATCGTAACTACTTGGAAATACAAGGAAGCAACCAGTCAGTCTAATCATGAATAGTAATGATGGATGATGATGTATTGTTGTAACACTGAAAAATTGATAATGTAAATTTATAGATGACTTATTCAAGTAAAGAAGCTGTAGAATAAATGAATTACAATAAAGTAAACAATTTGACAAAGCAAATCATTTCAGTGTTAAAGTGACAGTGCGAGCCACTTGCTAAGTTTGATGGAATAGAGTCAATGGAAGGATATGCGAAACAGGATTCTAGTGAACTTGGTATTATGTAGAACAACTGAAAGTGAAAGAACTTTTTCGTTAGTAATGTATTTAAGCATTAAGCAGCAGCAACAGTAACCCATATAACACGAAATAGCTGAAAATGTTACATTTGTATGGAATTAAATTCACGATATTACAAATAAAAATACAATAAGCATTGTTTTTTCTTATTTGCAAAATATTAGAAATTTCACAGCTCTTTTTTTCATAAAGAAGACAAAAAAATAGTCATGATTATTAATGGTAGTAATGATTATAATGCTAACAATAATAATAGTCAGAAAGAAATGATAGATGATTGTGAGTCAATGCATCATATTCAAAGCAATAAACAGTGATTAAGTTTAGTAAAATTTAGAAGGGATAAACGATAAAAATATTATTTGAATAATCAACATTATAAGCTCATTGCTGTGAGATCATCTAATTCTAGCGCGTATACCATATACGAAATAATGAAATATCTGAAATGCAACACTGAGATATGAATGATCATATGAATTAGAAATAGCAAATTATATTAATTACACATACTTATGATGAGGAAATTTTCGATAACATTATAATAATAGTTTTCCAGCGATCATATTCATTTGAAATTGCGCAATTTAGAATTTCTTGATTATGACCATTCTTCACAAACACATACCTAATTTAGTGAGTAGTTACATCTATATTAATATAATTATGAAAACCTGACAGATATGACAGTAAGAAAAAGATACGGAAACACATGCACAAAACAGTGTACACAAGATGATAACATATATTTTGCATATTAAAGAAAATTACAATGCTTTAAAAAAAATTTTTAAATATTACGAAAATTCTAATTGATCTTTTTAATACAGTGTAACTGTTGATAGTATAAGTTCCTTTCATGCTTTTATCGTCTTTTTCTAGGAATACATTTTAGGCAAAAAATAAGGTTTATTGAATTTGAAAAAAGTCAAAGGCAAAGGTGAAGACAATTCAACGAAATTCAGCGAAAAATAAATCCGAAAGAAAAAATCTATTTACCACTCAAATTAACTGCCTGAGTAAGTAAATTATCATTTTTAATAAAGTAACAACACAGTGAATTTTTATAAACCTTAGTATTTTGACCATGAATTGAGCAGATTTAAAACATTATTATAACAATAATCGAATTGATACTTTCGTAACTAAATCTCAAAATGGACATCAAATATCTTCAAAATGCCTTTCAATAAGTTTAGTAGAAAAATTGATATGTAACTATTATAGTTAGTTTAAAGAATGGAGAACTTGTTGATTAAATATTATTATTGCATTGCACATTTTTTGCCTTATTTTCAAGTCAAATTTTTCATCCAAATTATTGGTGACCTTCGATCTTTAACTTCTTAAACCAAAGAATTTGAAAATTTTTTTGAAACAAAGAATCAGTGACCTGAGTATTTTTTCAGAAAATTTCTCTTTCGTCTTATTTGCAAACTAATTATAGTTGGCATTTTGTTAAACTGAAATGTTTATGCAAAAAGAACAACAACTAAGATGATCTTTTAACTTTGACAAATTCTTCTCTTTTCTTTTTCACAAACCTGTGAACATTTTCGATCATCAAAAAGAGAATTATGCAGATGAGATTAGAAATCAGACATAATCGAAATAAGACTGAAAAGTAATAAAATACGCATTATTTTAATTTTGCATTTTAGTGCGTTCTTGCTTATTTTTAGCACAATTTAAAGAATTTTCAGAAATTAAAAAAATAAATTTTAGCAACAAATATAAACATTTTAATTCTAAATCAGTTTTTTCTTTTGAAAAAAAAAAATGCACAAAATTTGGAAATATGCCTACCGTATGTTATGATATGTATAGGTGATGATGATAATATATACTTAAGAAAGAAAGAAAATGATAATAAAAACAAATTGCAACTTTGCTTTTGCAAAATAAGAAGTAGTTGAATAGAAATTTTAATTTTTATATTTATTTTAGTTTTTTAATAACAAAAAAATTCTTATCATTTAATATTTTACTTTTTTTGACAGCAAAAGTTGCAACATTTTTTCATTTTTTTGCAGCTATTGTTGTTATTACTTTTGTTATTGTTATTGCTGATTATGTATTCATTATTGTTACTAATAAATCGGTTCCACAATTCATTCACAACAAAATGATTTCATATCCTCGAATGAACAGCGATTTGCACAGCACTTTTCTGTTAATGTTTGCGCACGCTTTCCAGACGACTTTAAGGCTGCAAAAAACGAATTACTAATTAATTTATTAAATATTGAAATTTCAATTGCTTTATTTGCATAAATTCAAATTATTCATTTCGCTTCATGAAATTGAATTAACACTGCAATTATTTTTAATAAATAAATTGATTACACAAATACTTCGAAAAAAAAAAGAAAAAAAGAAATGACAACAAATCACATAATTATTCGTAACATTTCATAAAAACAACGTTTTATCTACTAAATAAGCACAAATTATAGCAAAAAATTTTGATCTTTCATTCATGTAACAATATTTAGTTTTAGTCATTTAATAGCAAAAATATAAGAAATAAGAGATTTTATAGACACCATTTGTAGTGCAGCAATTATTAAAATACTAATATTTTTTATTTTGAAAAACATTACTTTTCATTTTGTACACTGTTAAAAATCTGCAACAAATCTGAGTAACATGTTTTTATTTCGAAAAAATATTTTGAAGATGTTTTGAATTCGTATTAATACTATAATAAGTTAAATGAAAAGTATTAATAAAGGTAATATAAGTTAATATTTTCCTAATATAAGAAATTGGATTAGATTTAAAACTATTTTAAATAAATTTCTGCCAGTTAAGAACTACACAACAACTTGTACATACCATTTGAATATCTTTAAAACATATTTTGCTATTTATCTTTGTTCAAAATTTCAACTGAAATTATTGGTGAAGATTACTTGTCTCTTACATTATAGTGAAAGTTACCTCAGTGAATATAAATTTTACTTTTTGTCTGCAATAAATAAATTAGAGTCTGCAGATATCGGGTCGAAAATTCTTTTCTAAATGAAATCAGATAAAAACAGCTTGCATTTATATTTTTTGTACTTCTTTTGAATGAAATTTTGGTAATAAAAATTGATCAAAGCAAAATAATTTTGTGATTGTGAATCTGATTTGTTGAGTAATTCAAACTAACTCTGTTAATCTGATTGCTTTAATTTTGTACATTCAGTTTTCATAAATTTTCCAGTCGTAAATAGTTTGTCTTAACAAGTATTAATTATTTGCAAAACGAATTTGAGATTACAAAATAACTTTCATAATTTTTAAAAACTTCCAGTCCTAAGTTTTTGATAGTTATATCAATGCAAACAATATTTTGACATTAAAAAGAGCAATTTAATAAGTTTATGAATGTAAATATTTCGGTTAAATATGAGTTTTCAGTACAACATAATGTGCAAAACTATAGGTAGTACTTTCCATGACCAATTTCTTGCTTAAAATTAAATATTCAGAGGTGACAAATGCTGAATGTAAATTATCTTGGACTAAAACATCGAATACGTTGCTTGCTCTGCTTCCTTCTACTATAAGATAATTTTGCTTATCTAGTGAAATTGTACTCACTGAGCATCTATAAGCTATAAATTTCAAATCAAAAAATCAATAAAAACTTAAATTTATATTACTTGCATTTACCTGTTTATCAAGAAAACATTCTTTCATTTTATTAAACTTGATTTGTGTTTCAATTATCATAAAAGATCGAATCAAAACTAAACATAAGTAAACTACACTTAATTTCTAAACTGTCGCATAATTAATTCTCTTTTTTTATTTGCTCAAGTATTAATGCCTGAATTAAAATGAAAAAATAATTTCCAAACTGCTATAATTACATACAACTTATTTTTCTTGAGCATTTATGCACATTTATTAGTAAACACATATTAAATTATTAATTGATTCATACATAATTATTTATGTCTATCGCTCATAATGAATATTAATGCTAGCAAATTCTTTATGATAGCATATAACTATAAGAATTACATCTAATTAATTTAAACTGCTGATTTAATTACACTTTTTATTTTGATGAATAAATAAAAAGTTAAGTAAATTCATACACTTTTTAAAAAAAAATTTTTTATGGAAATGAACAGAAAAAAAAAGATAAAACATTGATAGTTATTATTATTTCCGCAGTGTGATTGCGCTTGAAATAATAAATTGCAATCAAATATTTTTTTAATTTGTGCAAAACTTTTCATCATAAATTTGAGGATTATTTGTTATAACAAAAAATTTAAGAAAAAAAAAGAAAGGAAACTAATCAAATAAAAAAGTATTAAGAAACAAGCTGATCTTTGGGCGAAAAGTTGTTACTCAGACTACTTACTAACTAGCTGCAAAACGAATTGGATAGAATGAAAGTAAATTATTATAAATTATCTTATTAAATTTTGCAGCTTAACTAGGACAATGATGATGCAAAATTGCTTCGATTTCGAAGCCCTTGTTATTATTATTGATTAATAATGTTAATAATAATATTATTATTAATAATATTATTATTGTTATGTATATGTAATATGTTATGAATGACATGCTTGAAAATGCAGTACGAAAATAACTTGAAAGATACAAAAATCTTACATCTTTTAACGCTGACAGCTTTAGCACCCGCTGGTTTCACACAACCATTGCAAAGTTTCACGATGGCCTCAACTAATTTTGTTCCGCAAAGTCGGCTTGTAGTAGCTTTTTTGGATGGTATTGGGATCAACACATTATTGTCTGTATTCTTGTCAAGAGAGAGGACAAAGTGATCCAATCCGTAAATTCCAGGAAGATTAAGCCATTCTAAATGCTTATCCAAAATGTCATCATCTAGCTGTAAATTACGTAGCCGTTCTGCAATTCGTTGCTTGGTAGCATCACCAACTACCAACTGTTTATAGTTATTCAAATGCCCCATTGCATTCGGCAAGTTTCCAAACTTTGCTTTTATCCCTCTTGAAAATAATGCAAGAATGATTGGTGCAATTAACACCAGTACGTTTCTGTAAAACTTCATGATGTATTTAGATTGTTTTTCTTCGTCCACAAAACCCAGCAAAATCTGCTTTTCGTTTTTTCTATATTTGTAAATGATTAATTAACAGTTTCAGGTAAAATCTTTGCACAGCTCTATCGGCTTTCAACTGCTGTAGTTTATAAATGCAGATAAATTACAGGTAAATAAAATTATGGTATTGAAGGATCGAATTTAAGTTCGTTCCACTTCTTGTTCCACTGAATGCAAAATTCAGTGGACTCAAAAAAGTTTACGTTTAACAATAAATGTGAGAAATAAAAGTTCAAATTAGAACTTAATTTAAGCTGTAATGCAGGCTATGACTATAATAATAATGATAATAATAGCGTTTACGATGGAAATAACACGGATATAGTAAAATAATGAAGAGAATACGATATAAACAGCGGCAGTAGTGCAAATGTCAAAGTTTATTGTTGAATGTAATGCGATTTTCAACAACAAGACAACAAAATGAAAAGACAAAGGTAATAACGCTAATCCTATTGTCAAATGTAGTACTGAAATATGTTGCTAAAGTTTCGGGCAGCAATAAATGCAAAGAAATGATATGAAGTGGAATGGAACGATAACGATAGATTGTATTTTTAGGTAGTAGTAATGGTAGTAGATAGGCTTACTGCTTTTGCTGATGCTGCTGCAGTAATAGTCACTTTGAAACTTGAATTATTCCTAAACTTTCCTGCGAGCTTTTCGCGGAAGAACTGGAAAATATAAAACCCTCACAGGGTAACGAAGATATATTATTGAACTGCAGGACAGCCTGGTGCCGTATATAGTACATCAGATAGAATTTTTCAAATGCAAGAAGAGGTGGGTCCAAAATCAGAATCCATCCTCTTTTGCACATTTTCTGTATCACTCATCATCTTAAGTTAAGCCCAAGTGGAGACTATATTTTAAAAAGGGGCAGGGTTCAAGCAAAAAGGCGGAGTTCTACGTCATAACCACGTCAGTTTTAACTCTTTTTCCAACCTCCGAAAATAAGCAAGTTACTGCAAGGCAGATTTTCTTGAAAATTGTCTTGCCTAAAGTTGAATACAGCAAATAAAAGCACTTAAACTTGACTAATATGTTAATAAAAAATCAAGTGCATTGTAATTTTTAAAAATTATTTTAAAAATAATGAAATGCTTCTGTATTTTTGCATTTTATAATTACAATTTAGCATATTTACTTATTTACTTTGCAAAATTTTTTCGAAAAATATTTTTTCCCGCAAACATTTGTTTAAAAAAAGCAAAAAATATTACATCTCAGTGAATTGAGCAAAAGATCCAAAAAAGTCTACCATTTCGAAAATGTCATCACTTCTTAATAATATATCATTTAGCATCATTAACAGTTATTAAATATTAAGCATGTAGTCAAAATAAATAAACATTAAGAAGTATGCAGACAAAAAAATTCTATAGATGATGATGATTTTTATTTTGTTGTAATTTTGAAAATTGTGCTCACTTATCCAAGCTTTCAATTCCATGGCGACAGAATTATTACACCTTCTTCTTTATATAATTAGTGCTTTCGAAATATTCAAACTTTACTACTTATTATCAAGCAGTAAATTAGTCAAATAAGTCATATTTTTCTGTTTGTTTTCAACTCAGCATATGTTTTGATTTTTATTACTTACATGGATGAATAGCATCGTTATTTAAATCATAAGAAACTATTTCCTACTTGAGAAATTTTTCATTTTTAAAATTGCTTTCAATTGCAATTTTTGTCATATTTGTAATCTATGTGACTTAGAATTAACAAACAAATATGAAACCATTTAAAAATTTGAACAAGCTTCTTACGTAAAAGTGACAAGCCTAATTGAAAACGCATTATAAAAATAAATTATTTATACTCAACTTTTCAATTTTGCTCCAAAAGCATGTAAGTAAATTGAATGTATTTATAAATTTATACATGAGTGAATAATAAATTGAATTCATGCAAGTGAAACATGCTAAAATACATTTTCAGCATCATCTTTATAAGTCACAAAATAAGTTAAAATAATAGTATTTTATGCAAAAAATACGACAACGGCACTTCAAATATAAACAAATTATGCAATACTTAACTCATTATATAGCTGAATCAAAAATTTTCAAGGAAACAGCATATTAGCAGTTTCAAATATCTTGCCAAAAAAGCACCATCGAAGGAATTAATATAAATAATTAACAAGCTTGTTTAATATACATTCAATAAATCCAATACATGTAATTTAAACATATTGTTAGACGTTTTGCACGTCATTTAATTGTTGCTATTTACACATTTTTATTGATGACTTTGCAGTGAGCATTACCTAATAAAGCACAAAAATTGCTTAAAATGACTATAAAATTCTTTCCATTCTTTCTTACTATCACATTTAACTATTTTCACAAAACTTGTGAACTAAATTTTGAATGATTTAAATCAAATTCATTGAATCAAAAGTTTTGTAAATTTTCCTTCATTTAATTTTCAGTCTTAATTCGTTTACATAAACGTAATGTTATAAGTGCAATTTTTTTTAATCATTCTTTCTATGATCCATTAAAAGTTGCAATCAAGTATTCAGACTTTAATAGAGTAATGAAAGAAGCGAAAAATCAGATGTTGGCGCAATTTATCAGTAAAAAATATGTTAGATGGACACGGGGGATAAAAGTAGTATTTGCTGAAATGTCAAAAAAAGAAACTCATGCACACAAGCTGATGCATCAATTATTTATGAATTTTATCTCACACAAAAAAATTGCTACTTAATAAATTTCGTATCTTGATAACATTTAATGAGTTACATGTGAAGTCAACCAATAATTACATCACTAAATTTCAAGTGTTCACTTTTTGTCATTATTAAAATGTCAAATGCTGTAATAGTTGATTGAAATTATTCAGCTAAATTGAAAATCTCCATGAATTATTAAAGCATTTAAAACCAAATCAAAAACTTCCTTACAACCCACGTTTATCAAAATGTACCGCATAATATCATTTTACCAATTATTTTTCGCTTAGTAACTTTTATTTTCACTGAATAACAACCAGGTAATGTAGCAAATAAAATTATCTTACCTAATCTCAATGAATTTGAGACTGTTACAAAAGTAGTTATTTAAAAGAATTATTTTGTTTTGTGTATTTGTGTCAGAACAGAAATGAAAAACCCTGGGAAACTAAATACAATACATCTTGATAAATAATACGAGTTAAAATCCAAGTGGATGTTTACCTATTTATTTATTTATTTGTGCAGCGAAGAGAAATAAAACAGACTGTGAGACATTTTTGTAAGCTGCTTGAGAAATCTTGCAAAAATAATTGAAAAATACGAAAAATAAAAAAATAAAAAATCATTAAAATACAAATTTTTAGTTCAACGCTAGAGGTGCTAGCATCTTTAGCTGTCAATTAAGTACTGTCGAAAAAAAATATCATTTTTAGTTTTTTTAAATTACCAACAAACATTACCAAACAGAGAGAATTCCTGCACAGTAAGAGAATATGTATTTGTATTGCCCTGAGATCAACTTGCACAGAATTATTTAGCCAAAACTTTAAACTAAAAACATTCTTGCACATATTTCAGGTTTAGAAAGAAGTGCATTTTACATTAAACTTGACCAAAAAATCAGTGATCTAAATGCTACGTAATACTTATGAATCAATATTACATAGCATTTAAATTTTATTATGAATCGATTTGAAAAATTTTCTAGATATATGGAAACAAATTTATTTTCATAGTAATCAAGATGAGATTTTGTGCTTGTATTCAGAGAAATGCCGCTTGTGATTCAAATCAAAGGAATTTGTGGTAGAAAATATTGTTTAATTTCAATTTTTGAAAACAGAAATGCATAAAATGTTTACGCATTGATTCATCAAATATACGAGTAAAATGGCAATAAGTACTGATCGAAACTATAAAAAAAGATATTAGTATGCGTTATTAATATTTTATACCAAACAATTCATTTCGTAAATTTATTTTGCAGTAGCACTGCATAAAATTCAAACTAAGTTAGAAGAAGAATCAGCTTTGAAAAGTGCTTCAAATGCATAAAGTATATGTATTTTAAATTTTTGCAACATTAAATTATTATGTTTTTTAATGATATTGTTGAAAAACATTTGTAAAACAATTATAATTAAAAAGATGGAAGAGTCTTAGAGAAGAACAAGCAAATAATATTTATAAATGCATATTAATGCTATTAATCCTGTCTTATTAACTCAATTCCATAAGTAAAACTTAGTATAATAACATAATTTTCATTATTCTTAGTAATTTTGTAATTTAAAAAAAATACAAAGTTAGGTTAAGTAAATTTTGATAAAACAAAAAAAGGATAGCAAATTGGTATGAATTGCAATTCATTTTGCTTTATCTTTGTTGAAAAAATACTTGAAAGTAAAAAAAATTTGTAACGGAATTGAATAGCTTGAATTAATTTGAACTTCCTTGTGGTATTATCAAAAAAAGATTTTTAACTTAAGCTATTTGAAAATGTAATTCCAGATATATCTGTTTGTTTGGTTAAAAAAAAGATGAAAATGAAGTTGGAGTTACTGAAATCAAATCATACAAGAGATCATGAGGATATCCATTATCATCAAGCAGTAACTACAATCTTTGTGTTGCATGTCAAAAACATACTGAAATTAATAAGCATGCTATTCTGTTCGTTATCAAACATTTTTTATTGTGCTATTGTAATCAGTTGATACTGTTTGCTATTTCCGAAAGTTTCTCAAAAAATAAAAAATGAAAAAGTGCAAAAAAAATTGGAAATGCGCAAAAATTTGCAACACCCAATCATTACTTATTAAGCTTTTTAGTGGTTTTAAAATTCTTACTTTTTGAACAGTTTTTGTATTTGTGACTG